TACTCCATCTGCTGCTGGCTTCCAGCACCAGGATGAATGCTTAATTTTTAAATTTTTTTTTTAACGGTCGAAGAAAGCAAGCTTTTTCTTTTTTTCTCTTTTGCCTGAAGTCGGGCGCTTTCTCCAAAGAACACAGCTCGTAAAGCGAAAGCAGCCAACTTCAGTTAGGGCCTCAAAGGCGTTTTCCGCCCACAGCCTAGGCAACCGGGAGAAAAGTGTTAAAAGTAGCAATTAAGGGGCGGGTCGTTAAATTCCTGAGTGCTCAGGTGCACTCCGGCTTACCTCGGCCACACGCGGCGTTTTCCTTGAAAACGACGCCTGTGTGGGTGTCGAAGTCGCCGTCTGATCTTCGTTCTTTTTCACAGTAATGGTTGTCAGGGACCGTGCAGTAAAAGAGTATACGGGAGAGAGAGCAGGCGATATTAGAAAGGATTTAAAAAAAAAAAAAGATGACTGGAGCCTCCTGTTTCCTGTAAAAAAAAATTAATGAGGGCGATAATTTGCAATACTTAATTTTACTCCCTCTGCCAAGTGGTTAGAGCAATGGGTGTGTCCAGGAGGCAAGGTGACATGTTAAACACTATTGGGGACTCTTGCCAACTGAAACCTCCATCCTGTTAGGGTGTGGGGGAGGGTTCACCTGGGAGAGAGCTAGCATTCAGTTAAGTTTGGTGAATTCTTTTGTGTTTTGATAGCTTGTGAATTTTAATATGCTGGCTGAATTTATTCTTTGCACGGAGAAATAGGATGTAAATTATATCATGCAATTAACATTCGGAATTGTAATTAATTTTTTTAGTTAGCATGATAGGATTTAAATTTTTATTGGAAAATTATATTTTACAGTGGTCCTTTTCCCCGGTAAGTTTTTTTTTTTTTAAGTTTTTATAGTTACATGCATCATTGATACATTGAGGTTTTTTGTTAAATTGAAAACTTCTGATTACTTCATAATTTATAAGACAGATTCTGAGGATTCTAATAAAGAGAAAAGTTATCCTATACGGACATGTATGTAGATATGTGTCTAGCGTTTGGGAAAATGAATAGTAGAATGAAGATGCAGAGTTTGTGTTCAGTTTAAAGCCCATACATGGAATCACAAATTCATACAGCTAAGTATGTTAGGGTTTTTTTTTTTTAACCATTTCCCAGCCTTTTTGAGTATTATTTAGAAAATACTTAAATGTACATAATGCATTCAGTTCAGGTGACTTTGTAATGCAGATTGGTTTCTTGATAAAGATCTACAATGATAACCCAAAATGCAGGATCTAGTTCAGTAGGTTGGGGTGGAACCTGAAAGTCTCATTGGAAATCTCTGGAATGACAAGAACAACAGGGATTACATCAATGGTTGCAGAATTAAGAGCGTTAGGAACGAGTCATCTCTCTGGTGAATTAGTCTTCAGCTTATTGAGATAAACACATGTTAATGAGCTTGTATTTTCCCAAAAGGATAATTTTGGTTCTAAGAAAATGCTACCCTCCATAGACAGGAGAGTAGTAGAAAAAACTGAGTGCCAGGAAGTGTAAGCTCTTGATACTTGGGAAAGAAAACTTTTCCTGAAACTTTGGAAGCAAAGTGAGAGGTTTTCAAGTTGTTTGAGAAATTTAGTTTCTGTGTGCCTGGTTCATTCCTTGAAGTTGATTTTTGTGCAGTGTTCTAAGATTGTTTGCCAGGAGACAGGGAACAGCTGAACTGGAACAGTTCAGGGAGGGCCTTAAGTTTTGACTTTGTAAGCCAACCTAAGACTATTAGAAGATTGATTTATGGCTAGTGTTGTCTCCCTGAGACCTTATCTTTTATGTATACACATCCCCCCTCCCTCTTGACCCAACACATTGCAAATAAAATTGTATAGTCACTGGCTGCTTTCCTGCGCTAATTCATAGCATGCATTCCTTCCAGTCTCCACATACAATGCCTGTTACACATTTATGCTTAACATTTTTAGGCTTAAAATAATTTCAGGTGATTTCACGTGCCTCATTTTGTTTCTAGGATGCTGCTGGTGCCTTTTGGTTTCAATTTGTGCGAGTAAATTTTCTTTGCTTAAAGTCAATGTGGAGCATAGTGAGTTTAGCTGTAAAAGGCTCTCCTATATGGAAATTGTGAGTTGTTTGGTTAGTTTATATGCATCAATAGCTAATCATTAACTACATGGTTGGTGTTGTAGATGAAATTCCCTGTGAGAGGTTGAGTAATATGTCCATAGCTTATAGAACCAGGTGGTGAAGGATTGGTACTTTGGGGAAAAAATACACTTTTTTAAATCTTAGAATCTTGTACACTTGAACATAATTGATGGCATTTCAATTTTAAGCCAACTAACTCCTTGATTCCCCCTACACACACACACACACACACACACACACACACACACACACACACTGAACTCAGGACCTATCATGCTTGGCAAACACTGTATTGATGAGCCTACATCCCTAACTTTTGTTTTGTCTTTCTTAAGGAGAAATAAATTAATTTATATTGTGGTTAAATTGAATGCTGCTTTTGAAATTAAGATCTTGCTGAGTGGCCTGGCCTGGCCTTCAGCTAATGACCATGCTGCCATGAATCAAATCAAAATTGAGGGGGAAAATATATCTTTTGGATTCCCTTTCAGATCCTTAGGCTGTGCGCTAGAGAAATATGTGAGGCCATTCCTTATAAAGGCTCAATCCTTCCCCAGGGATATGTTCACTTAAAAAATGAGGGTCCAGGGTATTTTCTTCTCTGAACAAGATAATGGAATAATCATGGTACATTTAACCCATGTAGGGATTTTTATTTTTATTTTATTTTTGTTGTTGTTTTTCCAGACAGGGTCTCACTGTGTAGCCTTGGCTGGCCTGGAACTCACTATGTAGACCAGGCTGATGTAGAACTCAGAGATGCTCCTACCTCTGCCTCTCAAGCACAGATTAAGGCCATGCACCAGCATAATCTGGCTTCTTGGTGGGATTTTAAATTAGCAGTAGTCTGGCAGTGACTACCAGAACCACATACCAGGTGCATACAGATGAGCAGTGGAATGTTTACAGCTGGAGGCTGTAACAACAAGAAGCCTGTGTGTTTTGTTTAGAGTCCTAGGTTCTTTGCATTTGCCTGTCATTCAGGTGAGTAGTAAAAGTGCCTGGTGCTTCTCACTCCCTCCTCCATTAGGTTTGGGAAATTCATTTGGTGACAGGATGTTGTGTTAGCCATTTATGGTAGTGAATTTTCAATTTGAGATTAAGTCATTGAATGGCAGTTTTTAGTTAGTAATTTGATTTTTTAAAGTTGCCATGGGAGGTTAGTTTAAGTTTGGGTAGTCTGTGCCATGTGGTGGTGCACATCTTTAATCCCAGCACGGCAGAGACAGGCAGAGCTAGTTCCAGGACAGCCAAGGCTATACATAAAGAAACCCCAAAGGGAGGAGGGGGGTAGTCTAATTCAAAAAGGAAAACTGGTTTTATATGCTTTTGTTGCTTAAAGTAATCTTAAATGTTCTAATATTTCTAGATGTATTTTTTATTGTGTATATATAAATTGTAGGTTTTTAAAGGTTTTCAAACCATCCTTAGGTATTTGGCATAGTCTTGGAGTCAAGCTTGCTCACCCATAAAGTTAAACCAATGTGGACACATTCTGTCTACCCATTGTGTTCTAGGATCATTGAACTGAATGCAGCTCATAGCACATCATGAACCTTGAAAGTATTAAAACTTGTTTCCTGTAACTGCTAATCTACATACTTGTCAGTCATTAACCCACCTTTCTGATCTCTTTGTAGGCTGACCAACTGACTGAAGAGCAGATTGCAGGTAAGAAATACCCTATACCCTACTGGATTATATCCTTTGGGGCTAATTATAAATTGAATAACAAAACGCAAGATCCTTAAATGAAATAATTGACTTGATGTATGTCATGAGTGGTGATAAATTGAATGTAATATAAATACAGTAATTGAGCCTGCTTTGACAGGTGTGAGTGTGTGGTGTGTGTGTATGAGTGAGTGTGTGTGTGTGTGTGTGTGTGTGTGTGGGTGTGTGTGTGTTAGAAGAACAAGAATGGATATATACAACGTGGTGGTGGTTTTTATTTTTTGTAGGTTTTTTTGTTTTAGTTTTTTACTACCATCCAAAAGGTATGCAATTTCAAATCTGTTACCATAACAAAAGGGGGGTACGTAATATGCACATACATACATATAGTAACTAAAATTAATTGAAATAGTCAGAAAAATGAACATTGGATTTACTCTGACTTTAAATTAGTTGATGTTTTACGTTTGGGACTACGTACAGATTAAGCAGTCCCTAATCTCTACAAGACTGGTGTTCTCCAAAATCCACAACTTGAGTGCTAACTTGACACCATTAATAAAAAGAGTGTCATTCAACCTCATACACAGATGGGTTGAGGTCAGAATGCTTGAACAACAAAAATACTGTATAAAAATGGACTTCTTGTTGTGTATTATAAAGGTGTATATGACACATGAGCTACTTTGTTTTGAAACATTTCTGGCCCCATAAATTTCAGATAAGCGATAATTAGTCTGTATAATTGATGGTAAGTAACCATTTCCCTAGAAAAAAGACTTAACTAATATCACTGGTGTTCTGGTTTCTTTTCAGATTTTATGACTAGCTTTTATAAATGCCACTGTAGTAATTTGAATTTTGACTTTAAAAGCTGTGACAGCTATTGAGTAAACCTTTGGAAGAAATGCATTGTGTTTATGCTGTACTATTTAACTGCCAGCCAGGACTTTTGGTTTTATTCTGATATTTTGAGATGACTGGCTAATTTTGAAATGTGGAAGCTTGCCAGTTGTGTTCTTTCTCTGTTTCTGAGAACAAGGTCCCTTTAAGAGGTACTGGCTGGACTTGAACCCTGAATGCAGGGATCGTGGGCATCCCCACTATGCTTGGCCTCAGTAGACGTGTGTCTAATTCAACTGTTTCAATGTACCCAGTAATCAGTGGCAGTTTGCTTTCTCCCCTTGTGCTGGGAATTGAACCTGGGACTTTCTGTGTGCCAGTAAGTGCTCTAGCACTGCATTATATCCCTGGCACTTGGATTTTTGAGACAGTTTAACTGTTATTTAGGTGGGTCTTGAGCATCCTATGAAGGATGAGCTGTTTTGGAATTTATGACCCTCTAATCCTGAAAGCTCTAGCATGCTCTACTACTTGAATATGTTAAAGCTCAACTATATCACCCATTTAAAATCTACCATTTCTGTAAATACAGAAACCTGGAAGCTGTTAGAAATCTCTAGTCCTGGAATATCCACATACATTATTTGATGACTATATAAAGTAAAATCTAGGATTTGCTTTTGCAGGTGGTAAAATATGTCTATTGTGTGTATTGAAGCAATAAGGCAGAGCTTTGACTTTTGAGTTGTATCATTTTGTTATGCTGTTAAATAGTCAAATATGTATGCTAAACAACTCCAACCTTAGTTACACCATTAAATTACAAGAATTTTTTTTTTCTCGGCTATTTTCGTGTATTTTTACCCCTATGGGGGACTGGCTTGGGCTAATACTTGCTGTCTCAAACTGTCTTATGTATTTGCACTTTCTCAGTATTTCTAGTCAAATGTATTGGTCCCTCCTACTCACAACAGACATTTCAAGAGAGAAAATGTATTGACTTACGGTTTCTACCGTATTTATTACTTCTAAATATATAGTTCTTTTAAAAGCTTTTTATATCTGGTCAGTGTAATAGGATATAGTCTTCAATGACTTGTGATGTTTTATAAAAAATTGTCCTTCGAGGTAAGTTCTGGCTGAGGTTGATGGCGCATATATATGCCTATAATTCCAACACTCTTGGGAACTGAAGCAAGGGGCTCACAAGTTTGAGGTCAGCCTAAACTATATAGCTGGATAGGTAGCTTCTATCAGTTGGCTTTATATTTATAAGAGGGGTGGATCTGGAAATCAGTTCTTTCTCTGTCCTGCCTTTTTTTGTACTACTGATTTCTAAGTCCATTTCTTGCCTTGGGTTCTACTGAACTTTATAGAAGAGCCAAAATCTTACGAAGATAAAGCCAGGAGCAGTTGGACTGACTGGTTTTTAAAGCCTAGTGCCTACCATGTGTTAAATACTAAATACATTTTTTTAAAGGATAAATTTTATTCTCAGAGATGTGTAACACCAGAAGAATATAGAACACTGTATAGAATCCCCAAAGTACTGGCATTACCAAGGTCCTTCCTCCTAAAGTTCAAGGTCTATTTTTAGTGGCACAATATTTTTTTTGTCATAACTGGTAGATTACTGGTGGACAATAATACTCTAGAGTATAAAGTCTACTTGTCCTTCCAGAAAGAAATGTTGACCAGCTTGGGACATACAGTGCAATATTGTGTATGAACAGTTGATGCTATTTTTATCCTCATACTGTAGTTATCACTACAGATTTGTTTAGAAATTCTAACAGTAAATAACTTGTCCCTACTTGTTTAGGTAAAACAATTACTAAAGTTTGTATTGTTTTATTAAAGAATACCCCATTCGGGCTGTAGAGATGGCACAGAGGTTAAGAGCACTAACTGTTCTTTCCAGAGGTCCTGAGTTCAATTCCCAGCAACCACATGGTGGCTCACAACCATCCGTTATGAGATCTGGTGCCCTTTTCTGATTTGCAGATATACATGGAAGCAGAATGTTGTATACATAATAAATAAATAAAATTAAAAAAAGAATACCCCATTCTAGTATGACATCAATAACCAGTTAATTTTGTTAGAGCTCTGTCTGCACTTTAGTAGTTGTTGTTTGACATTTGAAAGACTGATAGGAAAAGGTTTTTTGTTGTTGTTGGGTTTTTTTTTTTTTTTTTTTTTATGAAATCTACCTACCTCAGTCTTAAACTTCCAAGGTCCAGATTTGATTGAAACAACATTCTTGCTCGATTTATAGTGGCAGTTAACATAATGACAAAAGGTCTGCTATAGGAGATAGCTCTGACATTGAGTATTTTTATTGCATACTTAAATTTTAGCTCCTAGATTTGTATTTCTGATCATTATGCTTAGAATAAAATGCTTCTATGTGTGTACAGACTGCTAGTTTTGAAGAGCAAGTGAACTGTTAAGGCAGATGGATGGAAAGTATATATTTTGAGATGTAGATCTCAAAGGAGTTGTTCATAGCTTTGAGTCTTTAGCATAAAAGGAGCCTTGGCTGGAGAGATGGCTCATTGGTTAAGGCTGATTAAGTGATTAAGGCTGCTCTTTCAGAGGACCTGAGTTTAATTTCCAGTACCTACATGGCAGCTCACAACTGTCTGTAACTACACAGTTCCAGGGGATCCAACACTGTCATGCAGACAAAACACTGGTACACAGAAAAAACTTAAGAAGCCTTCAAATATTAATAACAAAAGTGCATGCCTTTAATCATAACACTCAGGAGTCAGAGACAAAGGCAGACAGATCTCTAGTGATGTCAACCTGGTCTACAGAGCGAGTTGTAGGACAACCAGAACTACACAAAGAAACCCTGTCCAGAAAAAAAAAAACAAGAGAACCAGAGAGCCTTTAGTATATGAATATAAATTGGACCTTTAAGTAATGTCTTTATTTTCTTTATTGTGTGTGTAAATCGAAAGGATAGCGTGAATAATCGTGTTGGTTGGTTGGTTGGTTGGTTGGTTGGTTGGTTGGTTTGAGACAAGGCCCAGGTTGGTTGGTTGGTTGGTTGGTTGGTTGGTTGGTTGGTTGGTTGGTTTGGTTTGAGACAAGGCCCAGGCTGGCCTCTAGTTCATGATCTTCCTGCCCCAGTCTCCTCAGTGCTGGAATTACAGGTATACACCACTGTGGCCTGGCCTTTGGGTGCTTTAAACCTTTGAGATTTAGGATACATACACTTAAGTCATCTGTTTCCTACAGTTTAGCTTACTTCAACCATAAAATAGCTTGATTGTTGCATCGTAAACATTGGGAATTTATGCACTTAAAAAATATTTACAGCCAGGTGTATGATGGTAGAAAATGCAATATAAATAAATACATAATTCTAAATACTTCAGCCTTTCATTAATTTAGTAGGTGATAGACTAAACTATACGCTTACAGTGAATATTTGTTTCTGGACAACTTGTTTGTGAAAAGGTACTTAAAAAGTATGTGAATTTAGTGAATTAGACAGTCTTCATCAAATCCTGTTTGTAGTTGAGGAACACCTTGATTTATTAGGTTGATCTAGGTTAGTACTGTTTTAAGCTTTTGATTGGTAATAGAGGAGTTCCTCAGGAAATAAGTCATATTTAAATCAACTAGAACTGTATATAGGTGGAGAGACTGTAGAGGGTAACTAACTCTCTCTCTCTCTCTCTCTCTCTCTCTCTCTCTCTGTGTGTGTGTGTGTGTGTGTGTGTGTGTATTAAAAAGCTGAGAATGGTTTTATGCCGAGGAGTGTAACATCCTTTTCAAAAAGGTAATAGTATCTGGTGATTTTCACAAAAGAACCCAATTATCAGGCAGTTTTTAAATAGTATAAGCAAAAGATTGGGAGAGCATTGAGCTAAAATATTGGTTGCAGAAGTGGAACCAATTTAATACAACTTACATAGGTTTCAGGGGGCACCAGTTAAAGTGACTTCCCAGGAGTTGCTGAGGATTGTAGAATTTATTTATTACATATTTTGCTTGAGCTTAGCCAAGGGAAGCTGTTTTATTGGGTAGTCAGAAAGTTGAGTAGGTGCAGGTCTTTGCTGTAAGTGGGCATAGATAAGGGACCAGAGATTAAAAGGATAAATCTGGTAACATTTGACCATAAAAATAGACAAAAACCAGAGCCATGTTAATGTAAGGTGGGAAGAAAATCAAAATGCTCTTCTGGAAGCCAAGAGAGTTTTGAATGTTGACCTCATTTGGATGAGTCAAGTTAAAGTTTTCAACTTGTGAATTTGTGCTACAAGTACTGTCAATAACCGGTTTTATATATGAGTAGTCCTGCTCTCTAACTTACAATGATTATAAAATTTGAGATTTTATATTCATGATCATACTTGGACAGTGGAGATATCGGTGGGTCTAGAGATGATGAAATACAATTGGAAAGTACAAATTGAACAGAGGTAGATGAGCATTACACTATACCATTTCTTAAACATATCAGATACACATTTTCATGTAGCAGAGTTTTTAGTGGCTCATGAACTTAGAAACTGCTGTTTGTTGGTAGTCTTATCTGTTTAGAAAATACTGTGCTAGTAGATTTGTTAGTATACATTGGTGTGACCTTGAGTACCATATTTAATTTAATTTCTCTACCTGAAGTTAAATTTGTTTTCCATACCTTTTGGGATACAAGTTTGAATTGGAAGGAACATAATAACAATTTCATAACATCTTAAAGTCTTTGAATGAAGTACTTTATAATAAGCTTGACGTTTTCTATTCAGAATTGCCTTTGTTCCTCATAATATTCCAGTTAGATTGACGTGGACATTGATAGCTTGATTGACTCACTTTTTTAATCTTATTTTTACTTTATGTGCATTGGTGTTTGCCTCATGTATGTCTGTTAGGGTGTCAGTTTCCCTGGAACTAGGATTACAGACAGTTGTGAGCTGCCATGTGGGTGCCTGGGAATTGAACCCGTGTCCTAGGAGAGCAGCCACTGCTCTTAATTGCTAAGTCATCTCTTCAGCCCTGATTGACTCATTAACATTTGATAATAGTCCTTTCTTGCTGCTAGAAAACTGACCCATTTAATTTTCTTCAGAAGTTCTTGCTTTGAATTTAAAGAGAAAATGCTTATAAAATTTGAAATTTTCTGCTCATGAACATGCTTGTACGTCAGTGGACAGTTAGTGGAGATATTGGTGGGTCTAGAGATGCTGTGAAATAGAATTGGAAAGTACAAATTGGAACAGATAGACAAGCATTACACTATACCATTTCCTAAATATTTTGTTGACTTTAAGCTGTAACCTTTGAAGTAACCTAAACATCTGTCTGTATATTGGATTATTGCTGTTTTAAAACTCTATTAGCGGAGTATGAACACAGTGGTTTGGTTGGCTAAAGATTTTGACAGAATATCATGAGGTTTTTTCCTCCTAACTTACTAGGAATTGAAGCTTCATTCGAAATGCTGTATATTTGTTTTCTTGAAGAGTTAGTACATCTTATTTTGTTAGTTTTTTGAAACAGGGTTTTCACTGTAAATAGTCCTGGTTGTCCTGGAACTCGGTTTGTAGACCAGGCTGGCCTTGAACTCACAGAGATCCACTTGCTGCCTGCCGGCCAACTGCTGGGATTAAAGGCTTGCACTACCACTACCACCAGATGAGTTAGTATACATTATGATATTATCGGGTAGTTTTTTAATTGTTAATCTGCATGTTTGGATTTCTTTGGTCTTTCTGACAGAATTCAAAGAAGCCTTTTCACTATTTGACAAGGATGGTGATGGGACTATAACAACAAAGGAACTGGGGACTGTGATGAGGTCTCTTGGGCAGAACCCCACAGAAGCAGAGCTATAGGACATGATTAATGAAGTAGATGCAGATGGTGAGTCTTCAGTTGAGGGGGCGTTGGAGGGTATGTCGAAGAGGTGTTTACATTCTATTTCATGTTTGTACAAACAATTTTCAGGTAATGGCACAATTGACTTCCCTGAATTTCTGACAATGATGGCAAGAAAAATGAAAGATACAGACAGTGAAGAGGAAATCAGAGAAGCATTCCGTGTGTTTGATAAGGTAAATGCAAGGACTGAAGTTGTAGAGAATGAAAAGGAGCTAATGGGACGTACCTGTATTCTTTGGAGACAGTGTTTCGGATGTTGAAACTGCTTTTAAGAATTCCGTGTGGACTTGGGTTTCTGATCATGGCTCTTCCCAAAAAGGATACATTATGTATGCACCTTTGCAATATAGGGACATCTTACTTAATGACATCTGTAGATGAACCCAGTGTGGATTCTCTTCACTTTACGTGGATATCCCACCCCCAAACAAAACAAAAGTGAGGTTTCTCTGTTTAGCCTTGGCTGTCCTGGACCTCACTCTGTAGATCCACTGCCCCCACTTTGTGTGATTTTCAAATATGAAGTTGTTGGTTGATACTGCGGTTCAGATATTACTCAGAGGTCGTGTCCATTCTTTTGTAGGATGGCAATGGCTACATTAGTGCAGCAGAGCTCCGCCATGTGATGACAAACCTGGGAGAGAAGCTGACAGATGAGGAGGTGGATGAAATGATCAGGGAAGCAGATATCGATGGTGATGGTCAGGTAAACTATGAAGGTAAGTCACAGTCGCTGCCTTACTCAAATTACTTACTTCAGATTACTGAGGGTGTGGTGTCTCATGGCTGAGAATCAGTAACCTTTCCCTCCCAAAATTTGGTTGCTAAAGTAATTCTCACTAAGCTTATGTCATTTAAATGTCCCAACAAGACTAAAGCACTCAACTAAGAACTTTGAATGTCAGTTCTGTGCCTGCACCTGGAAGACATTTTACTAAGGTATTAACATTTGAATGGAACTGAACAGTTTCTGTAGAAAGGTAGAGGGATAATTTGGAGAGTTTCAAATCTTATTGTGGACTCCCTAAAATTAATCTTTGCCTTTTACTTTTTTACTTGGATATTTCATGACATAAAAGTTGTAAGTAGCATAAAGTTTAACCTTACAAAAGTTAAATAGTTGATGCACTGAAGTTACAATATTGACTGCTAACCCAACAGATACAAAATCAAATCCAAACTAAGCCAAAATTGTTTTCCCATCCTGTTGCTGGGGATGAGCTTGGGGCATACACACTCTAGGCAAGCATTCCACCAGAGAACCATATCCGCAGCCCCATCTTTAATGGCACTTGTTTAAGGACCCCAAATACAGCGAGTTCCAACTTTGGCCATAAACTGGCTTTCCTGTTACTGTGTAATTCCACAAAAGGACTAGCAAATGCAGAGTTTAGTGATTATGATTGCTTTTGTCATTGACTCATAATTTTGTTTCTTTTTTCAGAGTTTGTACAAATGATGACAGCAAAGTGAAGACATTGTACAGAATGTGTTAAATTTCTTGTACAAAATTGTTTATTTGCCTTTTCTTTGTTTGTAACTTATCTGTAAAAGGTTTTCCCCTACTGTCAAAAAAAATATGCATGTATAGTAATTAGGACTCGATTCCTCCATGTTTTCTTCCCTTATCTTCTGTCATTGTCCTTAAACCTTACTTTAGAGAATTGATGAAGTAACATGTTGCATGTGGCTTACTCTGGATATATCCAAGCCCTTCTGCACATCTAAACTTAGATGGAGTTGGTCAAATGAGGGAACATCTGGGTTATGCCTTTTTTTAAGTAGTTTTTAGGAACTGTCAGCATGTTGTTGTTGAAGTGTGGAGTTGTAACTCTGGACTGTGGACAGTCAACAATATGTACTTAAAAGTTGCACTATTGCAAAACGGGTGTTTTATCCAGGTACTCGTACACTATTTTTTTGTACTGCTGGTATTGTACCAGAAACATTTTCTTTTATTGTTACTTGCTTTTTAAACTTTGTTTAGCCACTTAAAGAAAAATCTGCTTATGGCACAATTTGCCTCAAATCCATTCCAAGTTGTATATTTGTTTTCCAATAAAAAAAATTACAATTTACCCAATTGTTGCTCTGAATCTGAGTGATTTAATATACCTATTGGTGTAAAAGTTCTGGGACAGCTATGTATGGAATTGCTCTCTCCCTGGTGTAATTCAGCTGTGGTCTTGCTGGGAACTTCCTGCCTGCTTTACTCTTAGATTGTAGCCTGGTGTGGTGTGCTCCTTTAATCCTAGCTCTGCGTTCAGGGGCCATCCTAGGCTACATAGTAAGCCTCAGGCCAGCCCAGACTCCAGTGAGATTGTTTCCAAGAAGAAAAAAAGAGAAGCTTTTCATAAATCTTTTGTAAGGAATTAGCATACACACACATTCAGTGTTTAGTATGTCTTTATTTAAAAATTTTGGATTTATGTGTGTTGAGTTTTGCCTGCATGTATGTGCACCATGTGTGCCTAGTGCCCTCTGCAGTCAGAAGAGAGCACCGGACCCCCCAGAATTGGAGTCTCACTCGGTGTGCACCACCATGTGGGTTCTGGGCACCAAACCTGGGTCCTCTGCAAGAGCAGCAAGCTCTAGTTCTTAACTCCTGAATCAAGTCCTGAACCAACTTTATAGCCTTGCTTCCTGCCTTTTTTTAAATAGTTGGAACTTTGTTAGGAGTTAGTGGGAGGGTACTATGACCTTTGTTTCTCAATTTATCAGTATGCTTTTAACTTTAAACTAGAGAGAAATTTCAGCTGTGCTTGCTTATCTGCTTGCGGTATGTTCTACCAAAAAGATAAGCAGTTAACTAAACCATGCTTTAGGCTTTGCTTGTTTCTCCCATTGCTTTCTCTGTAAGTTCAAGACATGATTTTCAAGGTTTTTCTTATTCTAGCTGCCTTTTAAATACTTAATTCTATAGCAAACCAGAGCAAAGATTGAAACACGAGTATAGTTGTTCCCTGTTATTTGTGGACCACAAGGTTTGGGCTGTCCTACAGGGTGGCAGTGTATTACACAGTGGGGTAGGCCTTGGGATTATATGGAGGGAAGTTAGACACACGGGTGACTGCTGGTCCTATTCCTCAGGGGAGAGATTTGAGGAAATAGCTGTCCATTTCTGAGGCCCTTCCATTGGGTAGTAGTTTTAAAGGCTCAAGCAGGGTTTCTGGCTGGAACATTGTGCTAAATGGCTTTCACATTTTGTTGCAGTCCTGTTGACACCCAGGATGATTTTCAGGTCTGTTATCCGAGCTCCAGTTAACTTACCTGTAAGATGCCCTCATGGTTTCTAACCTTTGGAAAACATTCAGTGAAATAGTGATTCTTTCAGTACAGTCTCTGGACTTAGGCTGAAGTGCTCGGCCAGTGTTACCATGTTAAACCAGGTGCTGCTGGAAAATGGGAACAGGCAATTAATCGTATTTCTCTAGGCAACAATACCAAGATACAGATAACCTGTGTGTGTGTGTGTGTCTCGGCTGGCTGGCTGGCTGGCTGGACTCAGATTTGGTAGCAATCCTGCCTTTGCCTTCTCAGTGCTGAAATTATAGGTATGTGCTATCATGTCTGGTGTACTACTTTGTAAGCAGTCACATCTGAACCCAGGGCTATGATTTCAAACCATCTCCAAGTCTCTACCATGTTACTAGTTTTAGTTTAGCAGGATTATGGTAGTAAATTCTTCAGTACTATTTGTAGCGTGTTTGCTCTCAGTTTTCTGGCAGTAAAGTACTTAGGAAAAAGGAATTGTGTGAGTGTATGTGCATGCAGTACCTGTGGAGGCCAGAAGGAGGTGTCAGGTCCCCTGGAACTGAAGTTAACAGCTAGCTACCATATGGGTGCTAGGAACTGAACCTGGGTCATCTGCAAGAACAGTTGAGTGCTCCTAACAGCTGAGCCTACTCAGGTTTGGGAAGTCACTTTTGTGTCAGGATGTTGTTTAACCATTTATGGTGATTTTTCAATTTGACACTCTTAAATTCATTGAATGGCAGTTTTTAGTAATAGGATTTTTAAAAGCTGCCACGGGAGGCTAGTTTAAATTGGGTTACTGTAATTTTAAAAAAGGAATAACAACCCTAAACTTTCTAGATATATTTTTAATTGTGTACACATTTTAGGTTTTTTAAGGTTACTTTCAAAGCATTCTGAGGTATTTGGCATAACTTGGAGTCACTCTTTAGCCTTCAGAGTTGAAGATTATCCTTGGAAAGTAATGTTTTCCCAAGAAATTTTAGGAAAAGCATTTTTGGGGGTCTGATGGGTAACAGCACTGAACATCTTGTGGTTCTGTCTTAAAACCTATTGCTAACCAGAAAAGACCTCAGGATCTTATATACAATGGTGGTAGCTTTGTTTGGTGTTTGTTTTTCCCTTTTCAGACTTTCTCATATACCCCAAGCCTCTAACTCTTTAACTTCCCCTTGAAGTTCTCACTCTTCTCTCTCTACCTCCCAAACACTAGGATGCCGCCCCCCCCCCCCACACCCCTGCAGGACTGGCATATGCTAGCCAAGTACTCTGCAAGTGAACTTTGGCCCAACACCAGCTATGTTTTCTTAGCTACGTTCAGTTTGTTTTATGGGTAAAAGTCCTTGAAATCATTGACCCATGGTGTTTCTATTTTTGAGGTAAACTATTCTTTCATCTGAATGTTCCCTTCTTTTCACTTGTACACCTCGTGTGGGTTTCTGGACTTCTCTGTACCTTCATATTCAGTCTCTAGGGTCTCAGTCCCTAGTCTACTGAGCCAGTTTTATAGCCTCAGCCGAAATAAGAAAGTGAAATGAACACCGGGTGGACTTGATTAACCTGTTACATTTGAGAACTTAAACATTTATTTCCATCTTAACTATGAACTTCCACTCATTTTAGACATGGTTTATGGTACCTTTAAATTGAGGTCAAGTTTGATTGTCTATAACCTTGGCATTTGGAGAAGCGGAGGCATGGGCTGCAGGAGACTGAAGAGAAGAATCTCAGGATTATGGAGAAATTGGATGAAATCCTAGCCTGCCCAAATTACCAGCAGAGTTCCCGAGGAGCTGGGGCCGGCCTGCTGTGCAGCATGAGCAGGCTGGCCACATGAGCCTGCCGAGCTAGATCCCAGAACCCACGTGAATGTCACAAAGGTGTCCTCACATGTGTGCCATGGACACAATGTCACACCCAGACACACAGAGAAGCAAACCTTAAAACTGATCTTAGTTCCTGTCCTGGGATTGAAATTTTCATTTTAAAATCACAAGATGTTTCAGGAACATTTAAAACAAAATTATGTATGTGGGTGTTTTACCTCCATGTATGTCTGGTGCCAAGGAGGCCACATCCCCTAGAACTGGAGATACAGACCACTGTGAGGCACCATGTGGGTGCTGGGAATTAAACCCAGGTCCTCTGGAAGAGCAGCTCCAGAGAGGAGCCATCTCTCCAGTAGTGAACATCAATTTCTGAAAGGCCCCACTATTAAATTGCTACCTAGATATAACTATATATTATTAAATACTTAGTTCCTCTTGTGTTCTGGTTTTGTTTATATGTCATTGTGTGTGCTTATGTAGCCCAGCATTTAGGCAGAGGTCCCAGGACAACTTTTCTCTGCTCACCATGTAGGTCCCAGGGATATCAAACTCAGATCATTAGCTTTGGCAGTCTCAGAGCCCTCCTGGCCCTGAGAATATTTTCTTTAAATCAGTTTATTTTATGTGTTTGTGTACCACGTGTGTGCCTGCTGCCTGCAGGATTCTGAGGGCGTTGATGTCCTGGAATTGGAGTCACAGGATGGTTGTGAACTACCCTGTGGGTGTTGGGAACCGAACTTGGGTCCTCTGGAAAAGCCGAGTGCTCTTAGCTGTGGAGCTTGCCTCCAAGCCCACATTAAGATGATTTTTAGGAGACAAACAATGGAGTCCACTCACTCTTGAAATTTGGTGATGGGAAACAGAAACCTCAAGCTGCTGAAGACAGTGGATCGGGTTTTGATGGAGCTAATTAACCCGATTTGCAGCATTGCTGTGAGGATTAACTGAAATGTAATACATGTGAAGTCCTTGGAACACAGTAGGTCCTCAAACAAAGGAATTAAGATTGAAAAGACACTTTTAGAAATAATCTTTCTAGGTTGAGAAGCTACAGCCAAGGAGGCCCAGAGGGCAAAGGGCTTGCTTACAGAAGAGATGGGTGGCCTGCTCTCACAGCTGGTGTTCAGGAAGGCCCCCACCCCACCGCGGAAGTGGGTGTCAAGGAAGAACTCTGCCTTAAAGCTAAATGCACCTACCAGTTTCCCTTTCTAGGATGTGGGATTGGGGGTAATTTGTGAGGGAATGGTAGAAGTTGTGGGTACCATCAGGTGTGGGCAAGCCTGTCCATGCACACACACATACCCATTACCCATGAGTTTGGGCAACTTCATAGTCCCTGTACTTTATGACACACACACACGTGACCGTCTCTAAGGATGTCCACTCAGTCAGCTTCGCTGGGGCCAGCTCAGTGCATCACTTCCCTGTCCCAACAGTGGAAGTGACCTGCGGGACTCTCTCACACGCGCAGACTCAGAACCCCGGCGGGTGGCCGGGGTTCCTAGCAACCGGCTGCCAGCGCTGGCCTGGGGAGGGGAGAGGGGAGGGCGCAAGGGGGGGGCCAGAGCCAGACACCGCCACCAAACCCTCTGCCGCACTGAGAGAAGACCTGGGACGCGGATTTCTTTTTCTCCTGTTGCTTCCTTCACCTTCTCTCCCCATCCTTTTCTCTTTTTCCTTTTTAAAATTTTCTTTTTATTTTATCCCACAACTACTTGCTTCAGCAGAGCGATTAGATTTCCTGCCCTTTCTGTCAAAGAAATGATCTGTTCGCAATTCTACTAGACGTGCTCTGCCCTGTCTCCTACTTGAGTACTTTTAAAAAATAAATTTGGGTGAGGGTGTTTAGTCTATCATTTATCTTCTCCTTTAAAGTGAATTTAAAATGATAGACAGCCGGATTATAGATCACTTGCCTAACCCAGTCAGACAGCTCCTTTCTCCTGGACTGGTCAAATAGCACCCCCAGGCCTCACTTCCCTGCTTTAGAGAGAGATGT